AATATAAAAAAAGTTTCTACTAGAAACAGAACATTTACATACTATCTACAAACTGATGGTACATGTGCTTCTGTCCACCTACAAAGACCAAAAAAATTTGGTGAAAGGAATGATGATGATGATGAGTATGAAAAATTAGATTTGGAGGGATGTAGAGTAGTTGGTGTTGATCCTGGAAGAAGGGATTTATTTGTTGCTGTAGAGCAAAATGAAAAAGTAATTAAATGCAGCACAAAAGAATATTATGAGATAGCTGGGTTTACAAAGGCAAGAAAAAAAAGAGAAGTTTGGATGAATAAAAATAAATACATACAAGCCATTGTCAGAGGTAAACGTTTTGATTTTTTTTAAAAGATTAATTAATTATTATTATTAATTCAATATTATATATTTCAGGTTTACCAACATCTTCTGTTCCTTCAGTTTGTGGTTTCCAAGTGCAGTATCTCTCTGAAGCACTTTTTTATATGGATGATTTGTTTGACTTTTATAAAGAAAACGTTGGAGAAGGTTAAGATGGTCAAACTATATTGGTAAACAAAAGGTGATGGATAAAATCTGTAAGAGGATTGCCAATAATGAGAGAACTGTTGTGGCATTTGGGTAAATATTACCTATTTTCATGATACTAATTTTTTGTGTTATTTAGAGAAATTAAAAAAAAATCTTTACATTTTATAATCACAGTCATGCTCCATTTTCATCAAGTTCTAAAGGACATGCTGCTGGTCCAATAAAGCAGCTGATGTGGGAGTTAAGGAAAAGATGTAGAGTAAAAATTATTAATGAATTTAGAACTAGCAGAATATGTTCCAAGTGTGAAGGGATATTTAGTAAACCTCAACAGTTTTGGACGCTCTGGAATCGTGATGTTAATGCTGCCCGAAACATAAGGAACATATTTCTGTACATGAATGAGAATGGGGGAGAAAGGCCTGAAATTTTTAGGTGGGGTGACTTAAATTGACCCCACTGCTGCACATGATTGTGGCAGGAAAATCTCGCTCGCGCAGCAGCAGCAATGGGGTTTTCTTTTCGTCACAGTCAGCTAATAGGGTGATTCCGATTTAGCATAACAAATTTTACTTGTTAGACAAACATAACATTAACAAGACAATGTCAGTAAATTATAATTTAATCTCACAAGAGAAAAACACGTTATCAAAATGTTTTCTAAGAATAAATAGATTTTCAAAGGGGTGACTGCATAGGCGCCTACAATACACTTGTGGACAAATTTATCAGAAATAATTAAAGCAATATGAATTTTGGAAATGGTGTGGTTAAAAAATCTAGAACCTAAAAAAATTAATAGGGAATAAAACCCTACAAGAATACAATAATATTAACAATGATTATAATTCATATAATTTGGCTCAACATTCTTTGCATAATAGAATTAACAGAAAATGTATTTGGAATATATTAAATGAAATGTTCACCGGATCAAAAACCCAAATAATATCAAAAAAAATGGTTAATTTTATAATTACAACATTAGGAAAGTTGAATGATATTTTGTGGTATTTTGGAATTATACAAATCAAGACCCCATTTAATTGATTATTTCTATACAAATAGAAATAAAAACGAAAAACTCATTGCAAATATTTTTGCAGAACGTACAAATCATATTATAATAGATGTTGAATTTTACAGTATTTCATGAAAGCTATTTCATTCTATCGTCTTAATCCTGAAACTTCATTGCATTTTTTGAATCTAATTCCACCCAATTTACCACTTAACCACAAAACATTTATTTTCAACTATAAATTCTACTAATATTAAAAACATTTTTAAAAATTTTGTTATGCGTTAATACAAAAACAAGCAAATATAAATGAAAAATTTGGAATATTTATTTATAATATATTAGAAAAAGTTTTCAATATCTCTTAATAATGATAATAATAACAATAATAATACTATTTGTAGTATGGTGATTGAAAATTTTTTTAAAACTTCCAAAAGAACAAATTTTTTTATCAGCATCAAAGGTTATAATATCCGAGATAATTAAAGTTCAGGAGGCTAGAGATTTAAATGAATGAATGTATAGAAATATTAAATATTAAATAATATTTATTATTATGATAATATATTCATATAATGCAAAAGGTCGATATTTATAAATTTTCCAATTATAATTTTTTTGTTCTTTTACATCATTATATATTCATTAAAAATTTTGATTAATTTAATAATATTCCCAAGTAGTAAAGACTGCTAAAACAATTAATCTTCTTATATTGACTTTACACAATAATCCAAATCCTCTGGAAATGGAGTATTCCAATAACTTCTAATATTAAAAATATGAGTACGAATTGCCATTACCTTTAATAATAATAGCTCACGATGCAGTAAAAAATCCCCATGTCAATCAATATTTGTGAAAGTATAATTAACAAGTGGAATCTATGCTATCTTTGGAGTAACAGGCCTACCGACTATATAGACTTCATCCATAAAAAATAAACCATTTAGAATTTGTAAACTCCTCTTCTTCCTCTTCGATTTATTCAACCTGTAGATTTTATTAGCAGTAAATTAGATATAACACATATCATTAATGAAAACTCCCTTTAATTAATAATAATTATATATATATAATGAAATAGAGTAATAAATTAAATCTAGAACGCAAATTGAAATTCTTGAGAAAAGGGTTTCATTTGCATATATAAAAAGTTATGAATAATTGTTTATTAAAAACCTTACTTTAATATTATGAGTATTGCTTGATTAAATTTTATTTTTGATGATTTTTTTATTCTTTGATGTTTCAAGAATTTTGTAAGTTAATAATTGTAATTATTTTTTTAAAAAATCAATGCAATTAATTGATATGCAAGCGCGTAATTTAATATTCCCAATCCTATCTATGATAATATCGGTAGATGGTGCATGTTGAGATAGAGGAGAACTTTTTGGAAGTTTACGATAAAAGTTTAGGAAAGATCTTCGTGTTACATACACGGTTCTCTTTCTATAATGAACTTCTTTTTTGTCCCCAATTCATTAATTTCTCTCTCTATAACGAACAAAGGCGGAAAGTTACATATGGGGACAGAAGATTCATTTGTATATGTGCTTTTTTTAAAGAATCCCACGAAATAAATAAATGGACCTTTCTTGCAAACGCCAGACACATTCACCGATCATGACATTCCAAACCTTGATGGTGCAATCGTAACCACCGCTAACTAAAGTATTTTCTACACCTGCTAAACACAAATAACCATGGATTATCACTAAATTGAGTACTGTCAGATGGTAATGAAGACATAATAGGATAATATGATGGATCAGTCTCAAGATTAGGTAAACATCACACTTTCAGCGTAGAGTTTCTTGAGCCAGTGACAATTAAAGGAAGGTGGTTCATTTAGATTTGGATTAACAGTACTCATGTAAACTGTTTATAATTCAACACTGAAAATTTTATTTCAGACTCAGATGATCAATGTATAAATATTATGATATAAATAGTGATAGAATGATCAATAGATGATGATGGTCTCTCAAAAGGTGTATACATTCATGTATTTCCAAGTCACAACATTGTTGCCATGGTCTTGGGATGATATGTACTTATGTCAACCATAAGACCCAATTTGTCATGTAAGATAACGACAGCAATAGATCTCTTTATATGGATGATTGGTTGGAGATAGAAGAAATGATTTATCGCCAGAAGCATCAACATGATCATCACTTTCTTGAATCTTGATAAAGTACTTTTGAATTCCATCCAATATCTGTTTGTTTTGAATTGAAGAAATTTCCTTTGCACTTTATAATAAAACCCACCGTGAATAAGCAACATTATAACAGAAAACGTGTTAAAAAATCGGTTAAATTGCTTACTCCTGACAGAACATGGCGCTCGAAACATTACGAATAACATATTATGTCGAATATTATTATTATTATGTCAAAGATTTGAATATGAGGTAGGGATTACAAATTAATTGGCACATTTTATTTTTAAAGCAAAAATCATGCTCGTTTTAAATAATATCTTTCTTTGGTTGATTTAAAATAAGTATCAGCGAGCACGTGTAGTGTTACTCGTCTGGTTGTTTTGGTAATACTTCAATTTTATTGGATGAGAATTTGTGGCGAAGAAAAGGAAATTAATTAACACCAATACTAGATGCAAAGTCAGTCATCTTTGATATGTCTGGGTGGTATATGTTGTAGATCTACCTGTGCTAGGTCCATCAACTTAGGATCATCATGTGTAGTTGATAGCCTAACTGAATTATTCTTTTGAATAAAAATACATTAGTGATGTAGTACTTCCAACAGTTTGATTTGATTATTCAATGATTTCTTCATTTGTTTCAAGTGTGGAATCATTTCAATCCTGGAGGTTACTAAAAAAACTAATAACAAAGTTTTTAATTAGAACAGAAATAATATTAAAAATATAATTAACAATATATTTTCACTTTCTGAATCTACTGAAAAAAGTTTTGCCATTATGATGAACTTTTAACCATTTATCATCTGTGATATTATCATTGCTGTTTCTGTGGGACTTGATGGATTCTATGTTTTAACTGCTTGTGTGTTACCACCATTATTTCAGTTGCTGAAGATGCAATAAATGAATAAGAAAAAAGAAACCTTAAAGATTTTTTTATAGTAAAAAAAATATGGGTTATAAAATTATTTAAAAAAAAGCCACAATTTTGAAAGATCAGCTAAAATACTTTTAATATAATCTATAAAGAAGGCTTTAAAATTTTATTTGGTGTGTGAGATATTATAATTTTCATTTTTATGATTCATTTATTCGTCTAACCAGTAAATAAACATTTTGACCAATATTAAGTTTATGCAAGTGATAAAGATTTCCTTCAATTGACATTAATAATCCACCAAATGATATAAAAACACCACTAAATAGATGTAAATATAAAATGTAATTAATTGTCATCCTTTTTGAAATATGATAACAACTAAATAATAATAATAAAAATATTTACTTACATTCTTCCAGCTTGATATTCAACATATTTATAAACTCTACCATGCATAACATACTCATAATTATCTGATAAATCTGGTTCATTCAAACCCTTTCCTTGCCAAGAAACTCTTTGTGAAATATCTTCACGTTCAATAACCATACTTTCATCTATTTTTTCAGAATTCATTGTTAAACCTGTTGATAATAACAACTCTATCTTGTCACCAATATCCAAAGCATATAGATCTGTATTAACATCTAGTAATAATCCCACATCACCTGATTCACTACGTCCTGTAAATCTTGATACTTTTTTATTTTCAGATGAGGAGATTAATATTAATTTTGGTTGTTTGATCAAAAAAGAATGAAAGAGAAACTAACCTCGATCAAATTTTTTACCATCTTTATCCATATCATTTATGTTAAACTCTTCACTATATACAATATAACTTTTTTTATTCATTATTAATATTATTCTATATTTAATTACCTAGGTTTTAGTTACACAAAACATTCATATCAATTTATATAAAAAAAAGTAAATAAATAAAAATAATGCTTCCACCATGCCTTTGGGCACCCTCACTTGAACCACATACAATAATAAATTCTTATGCATATAAGCATGCTATAATAAGTGAATGTATACGTATAGGCAAGGAAGAAAGTAAATATGAATCACAAGTATGTGGATATATTATGATCATTATCAAATGAATAAATAAATAAGTTGTTGTAATTGTTTTTGTTAATTGATTTATTTATTATTAAGCATTATATTACATTTAAAGATAAATGATAGAGAAAAGGATTACCTATTCCAGAAAAATATAGAATTAAAAGCTGGTGAAGATGTTCCAGTATGTTATTTTTTCCTTACTTTTCCAAATTTTATTTAATTATAAATTCATCCATTTACAGTCGTAGCGGACCTCGCCACCACAGCGGATTTCTTGTTACTATTACAACGGATTTAAATATTGGCCCTTTTTAGTCGTGTGACATTTCCCTGAGGCTTGCTTTTCTATATTAATATGTGAAAATAAATTCGAAATTCGTGTCACATGAAGTTATTTTTATAATAAACTCGAACTTCGTTGTTAGAGTAAAATGAAAATACTCCATTAAAGCTTTCTAATGAATACTCTTTCATAATAAAAGGTCTTCTCTACATGAATTCACAGCTATTCAAAAACGGTATTACTTTTTCACTTCAAACCTCAGATTATTTCTCAATATCGCTTTAAAAGACTTGAATACTTTAAGTTTTCATATGGTCGTTACTTTATGTTAATAAGTTCACAAAAAACTATTTTATAGAAATTTTAATAGTCATGAATTTTATGTAGATAGGATTCGGCAAAAACTAAAAGGTATTTTATTAGTGAATGTTTTATATTTCTGACTTTATATTGGTTAAAGTTTCATTAATGATTGTTATGAATATCCATCAATCAGTAGTTGCTATAGCAACATTAAACAATAATATGCGAACGATGACAACGAATCATCTTTTTTGAGGATGATAATAAAGATTAAGATTCAATTTGTATAGGAATGATCGAAGTAAGCGTTAAGGACAAGATTTATGAACAAAACATACTAACGAATGTTTATAAATTATTCAATAGTTTGTACAGGAGTAATCTAAGTAAGCATTAAGGACAAGATCTATGAACAAAATATACTAACAAACGTTTTATCAATTATTCAATAGTTTGTATAGGAGTGATCGAAGTAAGCATTAAGGACAAGATTTATGAACAAAATATACTAACGAACGTTTTATCATAGTTTATGTAGGAGTGATCGAAGTAAGCGTTGATGACAAGATCTATGAAGCTTGCAAAATATTCTAACGAGCATTTTATCAATTATTCAATAGTTTGTGCAGGAGCGATCGAAATAAACTTTAAGGACAAGATCTATGAAGCTTACAAAATATACTAACGAACATTTTTATCAATTATTCAATAGTTTGTATAGGAGTGATCGAAGTAAGTGTTAATGACAAGATCTAGGAAGCTTGCAAGCCAGTTTTACAAAAATAGGCATTTTATCAATCATTAAATAGTTATGTTTATTATTTATTTATGTATATAAATTTCTCTTTTATTTTAACTTATATTTAATATATGAAACAAATTGCATTTTAAAATGGAAAACACGTAGAAATATATGGGGAAGGCGTACACCATACCGTTTCCATATGTTTTCCAGAATTCCAGATAGGCTGATTCGCCCCAATCCATTCGAAATAACAACTTTTAATCACCTGAATTGCAAGTCATTATTAAAATGTGTGTTTGTTTTTTTTTCTGTTTGTAAAGTGGAAAAAGATGATTTTAGTTGGCGAAATATTTCAGAACTGGGAAAAGAAAAGGCAAAACCATTATAATAGAGGGATTATAAGTTAAATATAGGTGAAAGGATTCATATAAAAGAAGAAAATCAATTGAATGGAAGCAAATACTAACATCTCTCATTTCGCTTTATAGGAGTTATGAAATCAATTATTGAATTAGAAGAAACAATCACACCATCAAATAAACATATTAAAGGTGATTAAATATCAATTTTATTATTACTATTTTTTTTTTTTTAAATAATACATTTATATACGTATATTGTAAAATAAATAAAAAATAAAAAAAAATATTACTTGTTTTTAGATGGCATTTTTTTAAAAAATACTTTTTCTGTTTTATAAAGTATCAAGATCACGAAAACATATGATTCCGATGAATTTCTAAAAATGGAAAACGGTTGAAGAAAGAGATCCTTCATTAAAAGGCTTTTTTTGGTATGCTATATGAAAGCATAAACCCTTCCTCAAGAAATTAATCAAAAGAAAAATAATCATGAATTTTATTTTGTATGACTTTCTAAAACTTTTGATTAAAATCGAATTTGAAATCGAAATTAAAGAATAGAAAAAAACCAAATATAGTTCGAAGCTCAAATTTTATTGAATGAGTACATGGGTCTTTATTAAAATGACATTTACCTTTTTTCGAATCTGGAAAATAAAGACAATTATTATTGTCACAGTTTTGAAAATTAGTATTCAAAATTGAATTTCAAAACAGCCTTTAGATTAATAATTTTACCCATTATCTTTATTTATTTTTAGTCGTTTATTTTAGCGCGCTAATATTTATTATTATTAATGTATGTTACATTGTATTTCAATGTGCGGCTAAGTTGACAACAGTAGGCTTAGTAGACAACGTCATCAAAGTTGGCAAAATAGATATAGTTGAGGAAGAAGTCTTTTAATAAAGGATAATGTAGATAAACAACTCGAATTCCATGTACTTTAACAACAACTTTTCTTGAATAAAAAAAAATCGAATTAAAACTACTAATCTATACACCAAATATGTTGCCTTTGCCATATATATCATCATTAGGCATGACTTTATAAATGTTGATGTTGATTTGGTTTCCTGGGAATTGCAATTTGAGTATATCTCAATTTGGGAATTAATGAATGATTCTTCTAAGTTTACATAAGAAGAAACAATTGATTTCATTATGAATGGTTATTTTGAGAGGTTAATCTGATCCGGTCAAAAACAGATTAAATTTACTGATGTTATTGCACTTTTTGAAACTGTTGACATTTCAAGGACTGTGCCATGCAAATAGAAGAAGGATTTTTGTGGGATTAAAGTCTAGTTTTCGAATCTTTCTTAGGTAGTAGGAGTAGTAGAAACGGTAATGTTGTCATCGTAGCAGTCAGTAGCAATAGAAAATAAAAACATTACATGAATAAATATACTACATAAAAAAAAGAATCAATGTTTAAATTATAATGAATTCTTTATCACTTCATCCCTGATTAGAAAAGTAATCTTTAACTGTTAAAAAACCCCCATTGATATAAAAGAGTACGTTGAATTATTTGTTACACATTATGTAAATACAAATTTTACCAAAATAAAGTTAAAATGTCATTTAATAAATTGCCAGAAAGAAAGGAATTTTCACATAAAATTGGTAATGAAATTAACAATAATGCTTTGGCTAATTCTGATAAAGAAAGCATGAAAGATTATCTTATTTCATTAGTAAAAAAAAAACAAGGAGCTTTTTGAAAATGAAAATAAAAATGAGTTTTGTAAAGAGAAGCTTATGAAGCTTATTTATGATTTTGAGAAGTGTAAACTGACAAGATACTCTGAGAGATTCTGTGAAGGTTGCATTAGTTTACAATTACAGAGACTTCTCACTGCTTAGACATCTGGAAATAGCATAGATGATGATTTATTCAACAATTGAAATCATCTCTACAAACTTGTATTTTGGAATGGATATCTTTTAAGCAATTTGAAAAAGTAACAAAGTTAGCTTAAGGTGAATTTATACTGCTTCATGGACAAGAGGAAGTGTTAATGATTATGATAAGAATAAAAAGGAATTTAATTATTTTGGGAAGCAAATAGTACTGTTAAAAAATTTAAATGATTCAAGTAATTCAGGAAAAGATTTTTTTTATTAGATTGGTAGTTATCATTTGAAACAAATAAAACAATACAATGATAATTGATTTTATATTCAATTTCAGCAGGAATGATTATTAAATGCCACAATATGGCTAAATTCCCAGATATGGAAGTCATGCAATGGTTTTAGAATTTGAGAAAAAATCATTCTAATTAAAAATACAGAATTACAATCTTTGGAACTTTATGTAATGCATAAGTGATATACATGAAAAATATTTGATCCATAATGATTCACATAGTGGTAATATATTATTGCAAGGAGGTAATTGTTATGTTACAGATCTAGGATTATGTGGACCAGTGTCATATGTTGCACCTGGACTACTTAGAGGTAAAATTAATACAAAGAATACTATGTTAATGTGGGAAACATTTGTAGGACATCCACCATTTGATGATGGAGCTCATAATCGTTGTTTAATTTCTGATATATGTGAAGGCTTATGACCATCAATATTACCTGAAATACCTGATGATTATTTGTAAATGATGCAGAAGTGTTGGAATGTGGATTCATCAAAAATACCAACTGTTGAAGAGCTTTATAATTCTCTTATGATAAAATAAAAGAAATTCTTGATAATAATAATAATAATAATAGTAATAGTAACAATAATAGTTTAATAAAAAGATTATTCAAATTTTTTATAGGCGATCAAGTACACAAATCACATCCAGATGCATATCATACAAGTAGAATATTAGATGATAAAATTACTAAATCAAAAGTTATACAAGTAACAACAGTTCAACTCTATACTCTTAAACTTTGATTTTAACAAAGGTAAATAAATACAAATTCATAATAAATTAATTTTAATTAGGTTCTAATGATGATGATGATGATAATAATAAATAATAACAATAAGGGAAAAGATGTTGAAATATCAATGGATGATTAATTTTCATTATATATCTTTTTATTAAACTTTATAATTAATATTTACTCTTCTTTTATTATTATTATTATTGTTAAAGTCACATTTGTGATTGTTGACTTTTTCTATAATTCTCTTATTTCATATAATGAATGATGCTGGTGGAATATCATTTGTGGGTATAACTTTACTCGGATCCAACACATTGATGTTATTACCAGCATCTAACTGCGTTAGATTTTACAACCTCGAGAACTTTCCTCGGAGTATATATATACTGTCTCTAAGTCGTCATAGGGAAAGCATCAAATGTAAACTGGTTCTTTAAACTTTAAAAATACTCTACGGCTCCTGGATGGTGGTAAAATTAATTTGCTTCTTGCAAATAACTTTAGCTTGAAAAAAAGACGGTCCAATAATACATACTATACTAGTACTATGTTATGTAGAATTTATATGAAATACTATTATTATTTTTCAGTTTTAAAAAGCTATCCTTAAGCCTTTAGACTTTGAAATCTACGCAATCCCAATAAGCGAGCTCTAAACATCAAAGTAAGGTTTGAGATGTCTGTTGAATAATTAAACTTTTCGTTTACCAATAATAATAACAAGTGTTTAATCGAGCCGAAGATTCGGTGTTTCACGGATGCAAAACGACAAAAGGATTATAATAGTAAATGCGTGTTTAATTTAATCTATTTTAATACATTTGCTCCCATTATCAAACTTTAAGGTATGAAGCCCATCTAAAAGAATTACTCTGTTTAAACTTGACCTTCTCAAAAGATGTATTTTCATCTACAGATACGGTACATGATGATGTAGAAGTTTCGTGGATGGTAAACGCGAATGCATTTTGAAGAGGAAATTGTTTTCTTGAGGCTCTCGTTTCCATCAATTCAAAAATAATTTATTCAAGCTACAGTATACAAATACCTGCTTCAAATAGTTTTTTGTTATTTAAGAACATAACTCAGACACCTTCTTGTAGACATACTTCTTTTGGTAAATTTTAAAGAAGAAAGAATACATTAATATTAATATTTTTCGAACGCGTGAATTTATTCAAAGAAAAAAAACGTGATCTTGTAAGTTTAATAGATTTACCTTATTGATTTAAATATTTTAATAGACAAACCAAACATGTACACTATAATAAATAGAATATTGTTCTCTAATCTAAAGATTTAGCATGATTTTGATATCTCAAGTATTCACCCAGTACAGTATTTACACTTTGCTACATGGGGCTTTTCAATAGAAATTTTGAGTTAATACTCTTAGATGTAACTATAGGCAAAAATTTCCATCGAAGCTTTTAAAATATACATCTTTTTCCAAAACATCATTTCAGAGTTTCACGCGTTCCTATTGAACTATCTACAAATTTGAAATGTTCCCATGGCTGACGATTTATCTGAACTATCTAATTCACAAGGTTTATTTGTAATCATATGATCTGTTTTAATAATTAATAAGGTCGTTTTGATTTGGTTTTGATCATGATCCTGATTTCCGAATTATAAAAACGATTAAGCTTATTAAAATTATTTCTCAGGTATTAAAATCTTTTAGATTAAACAATCTACCCTTTTATCAATGGATTCATCAAATATTCCAGAAAAAAGTTTGCATTTAATTCCTTATTAGGGCCTTTGGATGTACGAGAGAAACTGTCATAAAAAAAATATTACAATTTTTTAATATTTTTTATAAAGAAGTTTTTAAAAAGAGAAAAAATCTTGCAACGAAATCTCAATCATGAATGACGGATCTTTTGCTTTATCTTGCTCACTCTGGATGGATGAATCAAAAGAAAATATAAAAACAACATGCAATCTGTTTCGGGAAGGCAATTTTGATGAATATATTTTCGTTTGAAAAAAAAAAATATAGTAAAACAATATTAGTTTTATTTCTGATGGTTTATATTGACAAAGCAAGAAACACCCAATGTACAATTTTTTGCGCCGGTCGCATAGACAATCACTTCGTCGACAAACACTTCACTGACAGTTTAGTTTACATGTGATGATAGTGATGATGATGATGATGATGATGATGATGATGATGATGATGATGATGATATTGTCACCAACTATTTTGGTGTTTATAATAATTGATGATAATTATTGTTTTTAATAGTGTGAATCAGACAAATTGACGATAAGCCAATGAATAGTATTGAGGTTTTATTTGAATCAAATTCAGGAAATATTTATTTTTTTGATGATGATTCTTTTTTTTTTAGTAATAAGTGGTTCCATAAAGTCTGATTGCTCCCAAATTAATTACATATTTCTTAAATTTTATGGGTCTGATTCATTTCATATGATTTTAGCATTGATTATAAGAATCATGATTTCATAAACATCAGGAAATTTAGATAAAAAGAAATTTGGATACTAATTAGTTTGCAAGCATATTAATGATAATGACTAATTTCATGCATCTTGAAAAGAATCTTGATGATATGGTTTTTAATTGAATTTTTAAATATGCCTAAAGAAATACCAAAAAAAGTGATAAGTTTTATTTTTTTCCAACATTCAACATAAAAATGAAGATGACTACATTACCAAATGGTTATCGTAGTGTTATCGGCTGAAAAAATATAATTGTTTGTGGTCTGACAAATTACGTTTAAAATGATCTCCAATTACATTTGAAAGAAACAAAGAAAAACTAAAAAAAAAACTAAAAACTTCTTCCGTGATTAAATTACCTTGGTTACATCAGTTTACCCAATCCTTCACAGTAATAATAAGTTTTTTAGAACTTTTATTACAAGAATTGGCCAGCTGCAGCAGTAACCTATCTATATATATAGTTTTAGGGGTCCTTCCGTGATTGTGAAAATTACAATGGTTATTAATTAATATCATTATAAGGCCTACAGTTTGAATGTCAACATTGCCTTGATTATTTATTGGATAGTGTTGAGCATTTAGGAGATTTATAGTTTAGAAAGTTTAAATAATTCATCTACTGTATATTAAATGAAGAAGAAGAAGGGGAGATGGAGATACTTGAATAAAGATCTCTCTGTGTGTGACATTCTAAAAGTTTAATTTTTTAAATTTACACAATAAAATATTACTGTTTTCAAATCACTACAAAAATATAGACACCAAATTTACGTAAAAAGAAAGCAGATGATGGCGTGCGGTTCCAAAGCTACAAATAGATTTTTGCTTTGCTTTATTTAGTTCTTGAGCATATACAGTTAAACCATCTTGGTAATCGGGACTATTAGTGGAAACCTTTGAAAGATTTCGATTTATTTAATAAATTCGATTTTCACCACAAAACTAAAATTTGTCTATATCGAGAATTTGTTACTATTACTGTTTGTTTACTATGTACGTCGATCACAAAAAAAGCTATTTTTAGTGATTTTGTGGGACAAATGAATGTTGTATATTTACTTCCATATTTCGTAATATACCGAGCTGCGTGTAACCTCTGTTACGATTTTAAACATATTCACATGGTTTAGATATTCATAAATTCGAACTCCGATTATTGTAACGCATGCAAGGCTTCGTAATGTTTTCAAGTAATGGTTCAAGTATTTATGATATATATGCGAGTTTTCGTAATGTTTTCAAGTTTTCGTGATACCGTAATAATGTTTCCAAGTATTTGTTATGCATGTCAAGAGTTTTCGTATGTTTCAAGGATATTCCGATATTCATAAATTTGTATTACTTAATTCTGTATGCGAATTTTCGTAATGTTTTTGTGATATGTTTTAAGCATTTGTAAATAATGTTTCCAGGTATTGTTATGCATGCAAGAGAGTCTTCGTATGTTTCAATAATATTCCAATATTCGTATATTTGTATGTATTATTGTAATTCTGTATGCAAGTTTTCGTAATATTTTCAAGACTTCGTGATATTCGTAATAATATTTATAATTCATGCAAGAGTTTTCATATGTTTCGAGAGTATTTCAATATTCGTAATTTGTATTAATGTAATTCTGTATACGAGTTTCGTAATATTTTCAAGCACTCGTAATGTTAATGTTTCCATCGAAAATTCATAAAATATTCGTAACACTTAAAATGTAAATTTTTTTTTTTTTTTTGAATACAAAACTCCCTCCCATCAGATAACGATAATGATATCATATTATGTATTGACAATGAAGATACCAATTTGAATCTCCAGTTAGAATATTCGGAACGTCTATTTAATTCACATTAAAAAATATAAAATGCATAGATGTAATATTAGACCATTTAGAAAGTACACGTAATAAAAAATATGCAAACTACAATTCAATAAATCATAAAATATTTGAAATATAATAATTAAAATACTTGGCCAATTATTAAATTATGCCATGAATATTTGAACATTCTTAATCACCACAAGATTACAAGTGTTTGGGTATTTGAAACATTACTAATACTTGAAAACGTTACATATGTTCGAAAGTATTACAAATACTCAAAATTTTGAATATGGGGTAATTTTACGAATAGGAACACTACTTGAAAGCATACGAGTACACAAGAGCATTCCAAATATTTGAAAACATTTCGAATATCATTGCTATTACAATATTCGAATATAAAACACTATTATTGAATTCATTGAATATTACAAATATTCGAAATATTTACGAGAACTTTGAACTTTCGAATATTCGAATAGAAACAAACATTATCATCAAAGTCATTAAATATTCGAGAGTATTACGAATATTCAAAAGCATTACGAGAACTTGAACTTTTGAATATTTGAATAGGGGATGAAGTTACGAATTAATTAAAGAAATCATGTGATTGATTTATAGCTTACCCTTATAACTGCACTTCCATATATGACATAAGCCTACGTACAAATGCTTGACTTTTTGTTCTAAAAAAAAATTAATTACTGCAGCTCATTCATTCATTTTGATTTTAAAGGGCGGTTAATTAATTTGCAGGCACATACTATTGGTCACTCAACCCTCTAATCGTGTAACAAATAATCAAAAGGACAAATAACCAATCAGGATGAGCAACCCTTTCTTTTACAATCTGTATAGAAGTGTGGGAATTCGTATATTTTTTTCTCCTAGGATAAAAAAATTTCCGAGAATCGATTATAATAAACAAATAAATAAATCTTAAATACAGAGTATCTGTTAAAAAAATTTGATAATCATTATAGATTCTAAAGAATTTACTAATACTATGCTATGCACTATTAGACGTGCATAAATATTTATTTATAATACAGATGCATTTAAATACCAATCATTCGTTAATTAGTAACGTGTATGTAATCTTTGTTTTACATTAAAATTTCATATCTTGTGATTGTAATAAAGAAGAAGAAGTTATTGTTGAGGTTGTTGGTGAATTTATAAATTTCCTTTTTTTGATTTTTTACTTGTTGGTTAAAATCTTTTATTAAAAAAAAAAAACAAAACATTAAAAACATTCGTTATACACCAATTATTGTGTATGTAGATCCCCTCCTTTATTATTATGAGATCTTTACTTTGAAGGGTTGTTTGATTGATAAATTATCTATCATATTTATCTTTCTTCTTTTAATTTCACTCTCAAACAAAGGATAGCCAAGCAATAACCGAGATATTAAAAGGGGAGATCCTCATTTTGTTACCTAACAATTAATTAATTAATTCTTATTGAAGTTTTCCGGATAGGAGACTTTATAATATAAACAACAATAAAAAAAAATCTATCTTCTTGAACCTTTTTTTATATAAAAAGCAATTTCGATAATCATGGTAACGATGAAAATGCATCTAATATTTTGCGTTATTTAAAAAAGTAAACAAAAAAAATTTAAAAAATTTAAAAAATTTGTAATTTTTAAAGATTGTTTTTTTTTTTTAATGTACATTTTTTTTATTGTTGATAAATTAATAAAATTAATAACCATTGTTTGGTAATAACTTTTAAGTTATCCTTAACAATGCAAGCTTAAACCAAATTTGTTAATTGAATTTGTTTTGTTCACCAAAGGGTTATAATATTTTTATGAATTCGTGTAACACATTTTGGTAGTAAATAATTTAATATCCGAAGTTGTTTTTTTTTCAATTCTAAAAAAAAAAAGAGTAATGATCTACCTACCTCGGTATATGAAAATCACAATCGTGCGACGATACGATATTGATTTCATTTCTTAAAATTGAATTTTTAATTAATTGTTAGAATAATTGATTAAATTTTTTAAATTTTCCCTTGTTATCAATCTCTATATATGAAAAAATGAGCGAGGAGATAGGTGACGTGTACAATAATGAAATACATTAATCTGATTTTTTTCACTGATGTACCGAGCAAGATCTTTTTTATCGGCCGATGTATTGAGAAGGTGTTTTGGCGAGTTCCTTTAATTAACCAACCACTATTAGAATTAATTTAAACTAGTCAATTAATTAATTAATTAATTAATTAAAAAGAGATTTCCTAGTAAAAAATTACTGTTAAAAGATTTTCCACGTTGCCGACAAATTTCAATACATCAACCATTACTTTCTTTCTATAAACAGGTGGACAGGTTCGTTTGTTTATAGTCACCCTACGATATATTTGAAGATTTGTGTGTTAACTAGACTGATTTAGACATCAAGATTTCCAAATGTTTGTTAAACGTTATTATATGCATAAAATAGAAGAAATTATAATATTAGGTTGTGCCATGCTCGTAGCACAGTCTCCCCTTTTGCTCTTTTGTATTAGAAATAAAACAAATAAATAAACAAAACTCAATGGATTTTTAACTTTTCAAACGAACAGGAGAAGAAATTCAAAATAACTGTAACTTTATTTAAAAAAGATTATAAAAACTAGAAAAACTTTAGCTAAAAAAAAAATTCTTTAGTATTCTTGTGGTTTATTAATCGATTATCTTTGAATAACAAATAAAAATTATCTCGATTAAATATATATATATTTATTTATATATACTCTTTCAATTCAAATTTTTTCCATCTTTAAAAAAACTTTTAAAATATATATATATATATATATATATACACTTATATTTATATTTTATATATTCTTCGATCTTTTAAAAATAAAAATTTCTGAATTCCTCTCGTCATTACATTTATATCAACCTCCTAATAAATTTGTAAAAAATATATCAAAATGTCCAGAAATTTATTATTAGAAAATCCACCCAAAAAAACTCAGAATGAAATTATCACCTCACTTCCATCAGATATTCAACTTCCTTTTCCGCCACTGATCGGCGCCTCCGATTTCATATTGAAGAGATCGGCAGAAAAAATCTGGATGAAGAGCCCAAATGCTTTTTTCATATATAGAAAAGCATTTCAAAATCATCTAAAATTTTTGAATTACAAATTAACAATGATGAACGTTTCAAAATTGGTTAGCAGTTGTTGGAAAAATGAAAAAGTAGAAGTTAAAGATGCTTATAAAAAAATTGCTAAAGAAGTAGAGAAACAATTAAAAGAGAAAAGGAAGATGGATAATGGATATCCGGTAGTATGGAAGAATGATAAAAAACCATCTAAACAAAAATTACTGCAGCAGCAACAGCGTATCAATAGTAGTAATAGTAATAGTAACAACAACAATAATAATAACAACAACAACAAACAAAACTTAGATCATCATACGCAAAGTACAAAATTTGTATATAACGATAATCGTTTTAATAGTAATAATAACAATAATAGCGATTTCATTAATAATAATTTTATTAATCATAATGAATATTCGACATATGCGGTCAATTGCGAATTGTTTGATTCTCAATCATTCGTAACTCACGATTATTTTCCAATTATTGCAACAACGACAACGCTTCCAAACACAAATATATTTCAACATAATTTTAGCCATGATGATTTCACATTCGGCCACAACCTAACTTCGATGTACAACAATGAAGATGACAACATCTCCAATTTTAATTTAGTCGGCCCAATCCTAATAACAAATAATATTAATAACCATCACGATGATAATTTTGGTAACATTCAAAATAATGGCAATATTTTTGAATCATCAAATTTCATAAAATCGTCAATTCATTGAAAAAAAAAATTTTTTTATAAGATACATTTTTAACAATAAGTAAAATTAAGACTTTTTTTTTTTTTAAAGATTTTTACACATAAAAATTATTTTATATGTTTTATGATAAGATTGATTATAATTAAAAATTATTTTTTTAAAATACTATATATATTTTTATTTTATTTTATAATACGATGCAAAAAAAAAAAAAACATTTTCATAGTTTGTTTAAAAAATTATTTTTAATATGTTTATTTTTAATATGTTCAAGGGCTCCATGCATACGCGCACCCATACACAAGCACGCACGCACACATATTTATTAAAATCGCACAAAAATAAATTTTTTAATTTTAAATTATTAATTTTTCCAAAAATGTTTTCGGTACAAATGGACTTGCTTTACTTGGTAAATGACACAAGTGCAAGGAAAAAGATATCAAGGAAGACATAAATTAAGATGGTTGATAAACCAAATAGTAAAGATTTTCAAAAATAATCGAAACATCGAACTTTTTTGTTATTGTTATATAATATACATATTTATTGTTTTGTTATCAGATAAAGATGAACGGTGACAAAAATAAGAATAAAATTCCTTAATAATCAAATTTTATGGATCATAATGTTGTGTAAAAAAAATTTTTATTGACGAGTTGAAGACTTGTTTTTTTTTTCCTTAAAAATACAATTAATTAAATAAAACATTATACATGTTTATATGTTATTTACATACATAGATATATATAGTTTAGTGTTTTTAAAACTGATCTCTACAAACAAGGCGCAAATTGTGTGTGTTTATAATATTGGACGATTCGGTAATTGAGTAACTCTAACTTGACTAATTTAATCGAGAAAAATCAAATTTCGTGCAAGTATAGGAATATGAATGACTATTACAATGATGGTAATGCTGATGCTAACAATAATAAAATGAAGGCGCGCGTTATGATGTTAATAAATGCATGTGCGGTGGGTGTGTTACAAAATAATCATCATCGCTTTCCACTTTTTATTTATGTAAAGATATCTCGCGATCATACCTCTTACAAGTGTATTTTTGTACGCAGACTCACATAGTTTTTACACGTTAAGAATATCGAGTTTCTTTTTGAACAAAGAAACTTCTTTATAAAGAAACGGGAATTCATAAACAATCCACCGAAAAAAGATTAATTTACAAAATAATTACAACGATAATAATTACGTATTTGTTTATATTTATTATATATTTATATTTTCATGGATACTGAGAAGAAAAATTAAATTTGGTAATAGTACTATTTCATTTTCGGAAGGCCCGATAAAAATTATGTAATAGTAATAATAATATTATTAATATAAATAAAATTAAAATAAAATAAATACCTATTGTTGAAATAAGTTAAAAATAGTTTTCATTTTCTTTTTATGTATTTTATCAAAGAATTCAACTTTTCTCATGTAATCCATTCATTCAAGTTCTTCTAAATTACGAATTTCTCAAATTCAATTATTCTAAAAAAATGTTTTTGATTGCAATTTATAAATTTTCATGTTGTTTAACTAGAATAAAGAGAACTTGATATCATGCACCATGTAATAATAACAATAATAATAGCAGCGACAATACAATAAAATAAAATATATTAATATTCTTTTCCTTTTCACCAATCAGAGCAATTTCACGCGTATTTTAAACTAATCACGTGTTTTTAATATTCTTTGCCTGATTTAGACATTATAAATAATATGGGTACACACAATTTTTAAATGATAATCAAATTCATCATGTATAATGAAATGTTTGTTTATTTCTAAAAATTTATTATATGCAAAATAAAATTTTTGAAGAAAGAATCCTGAATCCTGTCTTAAAAACTTCTATTGATATCACAACAAATAAAGAATTTTTTTTTTTTTTTTTTCAAATCACAAACAAAATCAAAGTTGCATTTTTTCAACTTTATCAAAGAATTCGTAAACATTTTAAAAAAATTATTTGTTTTCTTCTTTTAGATGAAATCTAATTATTATTTTTTTGTGTGTATGTGTTTGTTTATAAAATTTTACCTTTATCATTTAAAATGCATTGAAAATCGTGCCGCTTTAATGAAAGTATATAAAAAACTATAGCAGTTTAATATGCAATATTTATTTATAAGAAATTGAATGTATTATTCGTTATCGATTGTGTGACACTAGAATATTTTTTATAAAATGAGACGTAAATTTTTTTTTTTATTCTCTCACAAAAAAAGAAAGAATCTTTTTTTTTAAAAAAAATAACATAAAATCAAAAAACCTCCCATAAAATTAAAATAATCGGTTCATTATTTTTCGTTATTTATTGATTTTGTTAAAACAAAACTATTTTTTATAAAAATTTTTTAAACAATTAAAACAATAATAATGAATAGGAATGAAATTTCTAAAGTGGAAAATTTAAATTCTTCCGTCTCCACGACCACCGATACCGCTTGCAACATCACCGCTATTACTTCTTCTACTCTTACCAATAACAATAAATACAAAACTATAAAAAATGAAATTAATAATTCTTCTATAACAACTATAAAAAATCCATTTCAAGTAATACTTCCTTTCCCGCCTCTTATCAATGCGTCTGAAATCATACGCGGTCGTAAACCATCACAAATGGTTGCAAAAAGTCCCAATGCTTTTTTTATTTATCGTAAAGTATTTTTGGATCAGTTGACACTATTAGAAAATAATGCTAATTTCAAAATGACCGATGTTTCTAAACTGGTCAGTTTCTATTGGAAAAATGAACTGGAATCTGTTAAAGATGCTTATCGTGAAATTGCTCAAGAAGTTGAAATCAAACTCAAGGAAATTAGAAAGAAAGAAGTGAATTCTAGAGTTGTTTGGAAAAAGTGTAAATTAGGTATTAATAAACGAAAGGATTCAACCACAACAATTAACTCAAAGACCAAGTCTAATGTTTCAACAAGAAAACCTAATAAACGATCCGGAATTAGTAGTAACAACGGCAATAATAATAATAGCAATAATAATATAAATTATCAATTTATACCTTCGAATTATTCAGAGATGGAATTAAAAAATTTCAATGGTAAAGTCGACGATGATGATAAAATAATTAATCGTGTAAATAAAGCCAACAATAACGAAACGGTTGTTAAAGCTGACGATAGTGAATTAATTATTAAAGCCGAGAATGATGACGACGGAAAGATTCTTCATGTCAATCATGACAAAATAAATAATGATGAAAAAATTGATAAAGTTATTATTGATGGTAATGAAAAAACTCTCGACAACACAAACATCCATCAGTATCCCAATAGTAATTACACTGAATTTATTCTGCCGACATTAGAATATCAAACTTTTAATGGTAGTAGTAGTAGTATCAGTAGCAATGGCAGCAACAACAAAAATAATGAGATATTTAATAATAATCATCAAATCTTTGAGAATACATTTATCGAAGAAAATTTTATTAATGGTGAATTTAATGAAGAGTATTTGGATTTCAATCATAATGATAGTGGTGGCGGTGGCGGCGGCAGCAGCAGCAGTACCACCAGCAGCAGTAGCGATGATTCTAGTGGTATTACTCATTATAGTAATATTAGTACTACTGCTAACATTTACAATAATATTAACAATGTTAATAATACTTTTTTTAATAATGAACAATTTAATTGGTATTTGCAAAGTTATATTGAATCGTAAAAAATACCTGTTACTATTATTAATTGTCATTATTATTTTTGTAAATATATTAAGCTTATTGTTATTTTATAGTTAGTAAAGTATACATAATATAAAAAATATATACATACAATATACACACACACACACACACACACACACACATACATAAATTACAGCGTAAGACTTAAGATTTTATTAAAATTAATTAATTTCTATTTTAGATTTGTAAATTTTATTTTTTTTATTTTTTCAATCTTATCTTTTAATAAATTGAGTTATGATTTGTATTCACGTGTTTGTTTATTTATAAAATAATTTTTAAATTGCTGTTATTGTAACTTTCCCAAAATATTATTTTTATTTACTTATAAATAAATACAACGCATATAAAAATAAATATCCTTCTCACTCTGACCCATTGAAAATTACTCTGTTAATAGGAGATCTTCCATAATTTTTGGATTTCGCAGAAATTAAAAAAAAACAATAAAGTAATTAATAATATGCGATTGGTTTCTCGATAAAACTAAGTGATTTTGGGGCTGATTCTCATCTATTTATGGGCAATGTTTTAGTAAATCTTGTCATGGAGATCTCACTAATGGGAGTGTGCAAAAATATTATTATTATACGATTTTGTGACCATCGGATTTGATGCTCATTCATTCTATATTAATATTTAATTTATCAATCTATCTCTCTCTCTATTAAACAATAATATTTCCGTTTCTATTTTTTAATTTTTTTTTAATTTATTAATTTAATTTAATTTTTCTCTCGTGTGTGAAAAATTAATCTATTTCTATTCGCACGTGAGCGAGCGTTCAAAATTTTAATTGTTACGCATTTTAATTACTCCACTCCTTTATATTATTTCTAGCTAGTATTGTTATCTTTTTATTTATATTAATCTTGTTATTAATATGGCAAATACAAATCCCTTTTGGTTACTTGTAAAATATTAAAGTTCGCGGAAATGCCGACGCAAACAAGTCTCATATAAATTAGTAATTGCTGACCCGTCCCAATTTAATCAAGTTCATACATACCTCCTTCTTTACCTTATTATTATAATAATACTATTTAATGTAAGATCAAAATATTGTAATTTTCCAAATATAGTTAGAGATATTTAATATGTCATGGGTGAAGCTTAAGAGTAAGGGTAAAACCTAATCGGGTCGCGCAAATCAACAAACAATAAATAAACACTGCGTGTCGCTCTTGTTACACAGTTAAACTTTTTTCATCAAATTTTTTTGAATAAATGGCAAGAATTGACGATATTTATTAATTGGCAAACAAATCAATCAATCAACTTTACGACTAATCAATATTATACGTTATATCTATCTATATTAGCCAAATAATAAGCGACACACGTTAAAGCAAATTAAAAAGAAAACGTTGAAAATTCATCCTTCTTCTCGTAAAGCTATTCAACTTCAACGTATATCTCTAAGAAATGATCGTCTTAAACGAGATAAAATAAAAAGATACAAAGAGTCAATCCAACCAAATGGTATATTATTGTTATATCATGACATTATCTTAATTATCGACTTTTTTATTAATGGATGTTTTATTTTTTATATATTTAGTCGATAAAATGTTGTGGTTTAAATTTGCACTTGATGATACATTATCATGTGCCACAAAATCTGAAGTCCATGAATTAATAGAATTGTAATTTACATTCACATATTATATATGTAGAGTTTTTTTTTTGAAATTGTATTAATTAGATAAGTTTACTTTTTAAAAAAAGTTATATATCTCGTAACGATGAAGAGATTTTGAAACTTGAAGAATCCAACAAAAATAAAACTAAATCATCAAGACAAAATTTTTTAGAAGCATTAAAATCAAAGGAAAAAAGAGAACATCAAACAGGATTTGGTAAATAAACTAAATCAATATTATTTTAGCATTATTATATTTCTAATTATTTTGTTTTTCAAATCTAATATTTCGATAGAAATACCTGATTTATTAGATCCAAAAAATGTTAAAATATTACGGTAAAATCTAAATTCAAAATTATCATTATTACTACTGTTATTATTATTTGAAAATCATAATTTTTGCAATTACTAACATCTTGATGACTTATTGATAGTGAGTGGGACGGTGACCCAAATTCTTTATCAAGAATCAAATTGATTCATATACAACAAGATCCAAATAATCACTCAAAAGAAAAATCTTGATTAGGAAAAAAAAATTTTTATTATTAACAAATTAAATTTAATTTTGAAAAAAATAAAATGATTAGTTGTTATTTTTTTATATTAAATATATCATTGCAAGTAAAGAGTTTTCTTTAATAAAAATTTTTTTTTGTTTCTTTTGTGTTAAATAATCTATGTTCACTCCACATTATTCTCATCTTCTTAACTGTCAAAATTTGGAAAATGTTTAAAAGATTAGTAGCATCTATGTTTACATTAATATATATATACATATATATATAGTATATATAAGTTACTTACTGTAAAAATGAAATTAAAAAAGATTAAATATTTTTTAGATAAAATTTTTTCAAGTAAAATGTTTTAAATAACTTATTAAACTTATTTTTTGATATTCCATAAACTTTCTGGCCTGTGCTTTCTATACTTGCTAAAATAGAGGCCACATGCTAAAATTTAATATACTAATTAGCATGTTTGAACATAATACAGATAATAAATATATTAAAAAATATATATTACCATTGCATAATTTTTTGTCTGGTGTTTCACCTGCACGCCAATTAGGTGTATTTGTAGTTTTACAATTTGAACAAACGAAACCTATTTAAAAAAAAATAATATTGTTGTTACTGTTATCATTATTGTCAATAATAATAATCAAAATAATTGCAAGTTAATAAAGATATTAACCATATGGATTATCATGAACTTTGGTTGTCCTTGTCCTTTTAATATTTGTTTTTTGTTTTTTGGCTGCAATAGACTTGGAATTTTGACCAGATAATTTTTCAAAATACTTTGATTCATTGGTTTCAAGAAAACTGTATATATATATATATATATATATATATATATATATATATTTATTTAAGATTAATTATAATTTTTTTGAGAAAATACTAGTATGTTAAATAGTCTATTTACTTTAAAAAATCTATAATATTAGTTTCAAAATTTTCTTTTTCTTTTTGATTCATTTGAGCTTGAGATAATAATTCTGGAAATTTAACTAATATTTCAAATTTTCAAAAAGATTAATTAAAGTTTCTCATAAAATATATATTAATCACAAATATAAAATAAATATATTACCAAATAACCTTAGTAAATGTTCTGCTCCATATAAATCCGTCCATTCTTTATTAGGATGTGTTTTGTGAATTTCTGAATTTTGAATATTCTCCTCTTTATACAAGAGTAAATTCTGCAAACAATTTTTAAAGTAGATGTAGATTCCTTGAGATAATTCGATACTATCATTTGTTTCGTTAATAGACTCGTCTGCTTTTTTTGAAGTTGATGCAATTGGAGGATTATTATCAATCGGTGATATTGGTGTTGGTATTGTTATTGTATTTTGTTTATAATTTAGATAGTCTTGCAATATGGTAGTAATTGTCACTGATCTAGGTAAATTATATAGCTATATAAAAGGATAGACTATATCAATATTAAGTAATGTGTGTGTGTGTATATATATATATATAAAATAATTCCTTTAACTTACTCTTTTATATTTTGTTATAAATTCCCAATCTTCTACTAGTTTATCTAGAAGAAATTGTGGAATTTTGAATTCAACATTAACAGATTCATTTTTTTCCTGCGTCTGGTTAATTAAAAAAAAATTTTATACTGTTGTTATTAAAATTTTTTTCTATTAAAATATATATATATATATACATATATATATTAATAATGAATTAAATCATATACATTATTGACATCAACTTCTTGATTCTCTTCTACTTTGTCGTGGATTTTTTCAACTTGTTTCCCCTTAACATCTACTTTATTGTTATTACTTCCTCCTAATTTAATTCTTATCCTTTTCACCTCTACCCTTTCAATATTTTCTTCAGCTTGATCTGCTTTTTGTTTCCCCAGCACTTTTGTAGCACCTTCTTGTGTACTATCATCCAAATCCAAATCCATGGCATCAGCACCTCTCTTTTTTGTTTGATTTTGATCTTGCTTATTTAAAATAATTTTAAGTGATTTGATTTCTCCTATTTGACAATTTATTATTATTAATTAATAAAAGCTCTGAATCAATAAACAATCATTTTTTTTTAATTTATTCATTCATTTGCTCACTCGCACACATACCACCAACAACAGCTACACCATCTACACCATCTACACCATCGTCGACTTTTTCCTGATTTTTGGAGTTAGAATCAGCGGATTGCACAAGCACCTCATTTACTTTCGGTGAAGGCTTACCATCAACTTTTGGTATTTTGGGTTGCCTCTTTTTATTTTTCGTTGAATGCAACTCTTTGAGCTGCTTTTGTTTTTGTAAACTTTCTTCATTTAATTTTAATAGTCTTTCTTCTGGAACCCATTCATCCCACCTATATATATTTATTTACTCATCAATGTAAATGTCATTATCATCATTTTTATAAAATAAAATTATAAAACTTTGAAATAAAAAATGTAACTACGTTTTTTTCCATCCTTTATAATGCACAAAGAAATGCGGCCCCAATTTTCCGGTTTTTGATTCGAGCCCAAAAGATTTAACTTTTAATATCTAAGATTCATAATATTGACAATTTGAAATAAATAATAAACATTTAATGTAAGTTGTAAGATACATTTGATCTAATAACATAACACACACACACACACACATATATATATATAGATTGAAATTTACTTTTGCCTCATAAATTAGTGGTCCGTGGAAACATAATACTACTTCGTTCTCGACGAAGGTTAATCTTTCTTGACTATTAATTTCCATTTTAGATGTGTGCGCTATTAAGCTTTAATGATTAGTTTTATTATTTATGATATTTGAAATGGGTTCTTTTGATTTTGATTTGAAAATCAGAAAAATCAAAATTTGGTGCGACAGCCACCTCAATTACAAAGGAAGGGCACAATCAACTTGGAATTATGATTATTAAAAAAAATGTTCTCTTTATTTATAAATAATAATATTTCTATGTTTCTGGTGAACATTCGCTACTAACGCCAGATTCTTCAGATTTATAAAGTATTAAATTAGGACATGGTTGATATATATACTTGATTAAAAAGAGAAGTTGAGGAAAATAGATAAATAAGTAAATTGATTTAATATTTAATAGTAATAATAATAATGGTGATGATGATGATGATAATAATAATAATAATAACAACAACAACAATAATAGTAATCATTCCCAGATAATACTTACATCTCTAAATAATCCTTCGCATTTCATTCTTAGAAGGCATTTCTCTTCTGCAGTTTCTTTTTTTAACCACAAATACCATAACAAATGATCTTTTGGTATTATTTTTATAAGATTTTCGCGAGTAATCTGCCAACCAATACCATTATAATGTAGATTCAAAGCCCTAATCAACCTGTGCACATGAACTGTTATTAATGAATGGTATAATTTATTGTAAACCTAAAAATTATTATATTATTGTATTATAAAATATTAAAATCACATGCTTGCTTGGTTATTGTGATATGTTTATATTTTCCAATATCAAATCACACCGACTTACATCGACTAAATCTTTGGATTCTGTTGAGCTACCTTTTAATGCATCAACACGAATTCCCAAGGTTTTCACCAACGTGTCTTGATGAAATCTTATTGCACCAAAATCTCTAATTATAAATCCAATCAATTCTCCAGTTTTAGAACTAAAACGTGCACGAGTATTTTGTTGATGTGGTTCAAATGTAAACCCATTATCTAAAGCGGGAGGCAAAAATGCTTCAAATAATATTCGAAGGTATCTATAAGGTTTTTAAATTTACTTTGTGATTTTTTTGTTAAAAGTAATCTTTTTTTTTTAATTATAATAATCAAAATTACCTATCAAGAAAATCAATACGTTTTTGTTCAGTGTCCAAATTCCAGACTTTTTCAACGACACTTTTTCCATTTTCATCCTTTTCCGTTAACGCTCCACATATTATGACCTTTTCGCTATCATCCAAATCATTAACATCTTGTCTGATTATGCAACCCAAATGGTTTGCAACATCTGGACCTGAATCGGTTGATATCACACTTGCTAGTTCATAAGCAATTTTCAAAATATTCCAATTTATATTAAGCTTTTTTAACACGGGCGTTAATCCTACGCCAAGATGTGCAGCCCAAGGTGAAATAGTTCTCATCGCTGATGTCACTATCATGCCTAATGGTAATTTAAATGCCAATCCAGGTAAATTTGGAAATACCACTGTGCGTATATTAGTTTGACTATTGGCCCTTATTGAATATTCAATTGGTAAAATTTCAACGTGTGGAAATTTTGATTTGATGATTGGCAATTGTAGTTCATGAAACGGCACAAGAACTTTATCTGATGGAATATTCGGTTTTGGAAATTTCATTGTATCTACCAGTTGTCGTATTCCTTCTTCAAAAGATCCTCTTATACACACCTTATCATGTGGCACTAGTGCAAAACGAATCAATGGCTTCTCAAAATCATAACTACCTGGAACTATTTCAGAAATGGGAGGAACAGTTTTTCTAGATTTATGCAACTAAAAATAATTTTTTTTCATTTGTCAAGACAAATAAAAAAAAAAAAAAAGAGTATATAAAATCCTGTTGTCATTTATAGATACCGGATGTGTTGGATGGGATTCGATCAAACTTTGTTCCCATTCAATACTAGTGGAATTTAATGTTGGCATAGGTTTTGGATGTCTATATATAAATTCTAAATCAATTAAACATAAACAACAAATTAGCTTGATTATTTTTTATCTTTAAATCCAACATAATAGTATATACATATATATATTACCTTGGTATTCGCAAGAACTTTTTAATTCTGAACATGTAAGATCAATTAATTCATTATTTAAATTTAACCAATCACCAAATACTCTCATTATATCAACTGGACTAATTTTTATTCCACCAATCTCGAACAAATTTGCACATTTCTTACAAAATAATTCAAATTTATTTTCTTCGTCTTCTTTCTCTTCATCCATAGACCTGAATTCAGTATCTAAAGAAAGTTTCTTTATAGGAGGTAACATATCACATGGATCAATATTTTCTACCTCTGATATAAACTTTTTTTCATTATTTTTGTAAAGTAACGGTTTATGATTTACGCGAACCGAAAAAATTTCTTTAATCTGTTGGATTTTTTGATTATCAGGCAAAATAAAAATTATTCCAAAATTGCATTCTTTACTCGATAAAGATTCTGTTGTTTTTGTTGATTGTTCAAAAAAACCATTTAGTACAAACTTTTCTGGACAATAATATAAAGTTTTAACCAACCCTTCGTTAACTGCACATGTTAATAATCTTGAGCCTGTAGCAAAGTACGCTCTTTGTCTTGATGTTTCCTCCATCGTTTTAATATTAATATTTTATATTAACAATAATTTTATTGTCAAAGTTACACTATATACCAAATGTAGAAAGTGGATTTTTTGCCTTAGTAATTAGAAAATATTAAAGACAATGTAAATTGTCACAATATTAAATCCGTTAAAATTTATTGCACAAATAAAAAATTATTTGATGTCTTGGAAGCAATCTATTAGAGTAATTGCTGGTTTAGGCGAGTGTTACTGTTTTTGCCTTAGTTCTTATAGTTTTTATAATTTACACACAATCATAATGTTTGCGCTTATTGTCTAAATATATAGATTTCGGAACAACTGCATCTGGTTTGTAAAATAAATTTATTGATATTACTAGTGATTAGCCTCCAGGTTTTTAATGAAATTTGTAATTTTTAGGTTTCACCTATTCCCATATTTCAAATGATGAACTATATACTAATGATAAGTGGCCTGGAGAAATTGGTCAACTGAAAACTTGTACAGTTTTACAATATGATGAAAAGTATGAAAAGGTTGAATCGTGGGGTCATTCTGCTTTAGCGAAACGTTATAATCGTAAAAGAGAAAGAAACGTTAATCAAAGACCTGTAGAATTATTTAAATTGCATTTAGGCGAAAATTTATTGAAAAAACCAGCTCTTAAAGTTGATTATAAGAAGGCCATCACAGATTATTTAACAGAAATTGGAAAGGTACTGTATCTCAATTAAAATTTTTTTTTTTTAGAATATATTTTCACAAAAAATTTATTAATCAATTTTTATACATGATAATATAGCTAATGCAAGAAAAAATTACGAGTCGTTGGCCTAACGTAAACTATAAAAAAGATGTATTGCACATTGTGACTGTTCCAGCAGTAAGTTTACAATAATGACATTATAATAATATTAAAAGCTAATATATAAACTTATTAATTAATAATACTTGGATTTTAGGAATATAGTGAACAATCTAAGGCTATTATGAGAGAGTGTATTTATCAAGCGGGCTTGTTAGAAGATTTAGATACTATCAGATTACAATTCACTACAGAACGTATGAAAATATTAATCTTTTGTTTTATAATAAAATATTTATATTATTTATTTAAATACTTTGTTGATATTTAAACAATTTATTTTTATCAATAGCCGAAGCAGCTGCAATTTATTGTATGAAAAATACATTAAAAGAACACTTAATATACGAGCCTGGAAGTTTGTATTTCTCTTGATTTTTTCTTTTGATTTTTTTTTTTTTTTTTGATATTCTTTATATACTAATTGATTCAATTATTTTGCAAAAAAAAAAAAAAAAAGCAACATTCATGATTGTTGATTGTGGTGGCGGCACAGTGGATTTGACCACTAGAAAGTTACATAGTGAAGATCAATTGGGTGAAATCACTGAACGTTCAGGTAATTAATATTATTTTAATCAGTGTCAATATATTGAAAAAATATACATGTATTTATTTATTTATTTATTTATTTAATTTAGGCGATTTTTGTGGAAGTACATATATTGATGATCAATTTTTAGAATATATTTGTAAAAACTTTGGTAATAATACAATCAATTTATTGAAGGAAAAACACTACGGGCAACTTCAATATTTGGTTCAAACATTTTGTAGACATGTTAAACTTCCATTTACCGGTCAAGAATTAGACTTTCATTACGAGTTAGATGTTGAAGAAGTTTGCCCAATTTTAAAACAATATGCGTCAGGTTCAGTAAAAGATGAGCTTGAAGAGAATGAATGGATAATCGAATTAGACTATGATACAATTAAATCATTTTTTGATCCAATAATCGATAGGATTATCTCAATGATACAATCACAACTTATTACTTCAAAAGAAAAATGTTTGGCAATGTTCTTGGTTGGAGGATTTAGTCAATCAAAATATTTACAATCTAGGATTAAGCAAGAATTCTCCACTAAAGTTGGATTTATTTCAGTGCCAAGTAACCCGGTTGCAGCAGTAGTTAAAGGAGCTTGTTTATATGGCATAAGCATGGTCACAAGTGAGGAGGATAAGCTAGAAGGTTTGAAATTTGTGGTTAAAAGTAGAAGATTGAAATATACATATGGTATAAAGGTGTTTTATGAATGGAAAAAAGGAGATCCTATAGAAAGAAAAGACTCGTCAAATTCAATATCTAAATTCTATAAATTGGCTGAAAGAAACACTGAAGTTAAAATTGATCAAGAATTTTCCATGACATTTTATCCTAGACATGCCACCCAAACATACATCAGTTTTCTAATATTTACAACGACACAACATAATATTGAATATTGTGATGATCCAAGTGCCAAATTATTGGGTAAACTAAACATAAGTTTACCTTATGATAATTTGGGCAAAGATAGGCCAGTTTCTTTTTCACTTAGATTTGCTGCAATGGAAATTATCGCAAAAGCAAAAAACTTGACCAATTCACAAAACTATTCAACAACCTTTGAGTTGAATTTCGATTGAAAATTTTAAAAACAATTGTTATTATTATTATTATTATTATTATTATTATTATTATTATTATTATTATTATTAACGATCGTACAATATTTTTTGTAAAAGAAACATTAATTATTATTATTATTATTACAGGTGTTTAGAATTTTTATTGGCTAAAAAAATAACTACACTAATTCCTTTTATATAAAGGTTTGAAAATTTTCTAAAAAGATACTGCTGATTCAAGACTCGTGTACTTTTTTTTTGCAAAATTTCGCACAAATGTCTTTTAGAAACACTCCAATATTTCTCGATTAACAACGAAACTTGGGGGGAGAATACTTTTATCTCAATTAATTCTTCGACTGTTCCCTTTTGAGCAAGAAAATCAGGTTCCAAATATATTGTTCAGCAAGCACAACAAGAAACTCTTGAAAGATCATTCATTGATGTTTCTTTGCATTCTAATAACATGGCCATTTGTCTAACTCTTTAAGTTTCCCTTGAAGTTTCTCATCAGGATGTATGTGTTTCTAGAAAGACATCGATCGCCATAATCTCTAGCGGTCTAAATTTGGATCAGCGTACGGAAATTTATTCTGTGAAATTTTTAGTGATCGATGTTAATTTTTATGTGAAAAAATGCCCCCTTTTCCATTTTTTTGTGCCAGATTCATGTTATATTCATATTATTGATTTAAAGTAAGGTTCACTGTAACTAAGGCTTCGAACGAATCGAACGAATCGGACTTTAAAGCAATTCGATTCGGATTTTAAATTGGTATTATATTTTAAAAATAAAATGTGCTTATAACTAGGATAAGGAAAATATACAATCGAACCTCATTTCAACAAATCTATGACCCTATAAAAATTAAGATCTTAATTTTGATATGAAATACATACTGAAACGGAAGGATTCACCTAAAAATATTATTATTACTAAAATCCTACCAAAAAATCCGTTGAAACGAGGGTTCGACTGTATATATGTTTTAGTTAATCAAAATGAATGCTATTAACATATTACTGCTAAGTAATTATTGTCTTCAAGAATAATAAATTAACTAGAATATAGATAGATAGATGAATTTTATAATAAGGTAGAAGAAGAAGAAAAAATATGAAAAGAGAAGACTTTTAGGTTATAAAATATTTAATTCTGAATTTGAGTGAAAAGCCATTTACAATTGATTGTTACTAGAATTATTTTAATTTTCAAACACAAGCATCTGGCATACATTCCACTGGTCATAAATATAAAGACACTTGCAAGATCATCAGAAATAATTGAATAAAGAAACAAACAAACTTTATTACTGCTTTTTTAATGAGATAAATTTGTGCAGAAAAAACTTTATTACTATAGTAGCTTTTAGCATTTAACATAAAAAATTATTATCTTTTTGAAATGTATACCACAGTAGATGATAAAGATCTTTAATTCCTCTGTCCTTTGATCAGTCATCAAGTATCTCTGCTGCAATCCTAGAAACAAGATCTGCATAAATAATAATAAATTGGCAAAATCATTTCCAGATACGATTGCACAATTTCTTGGAATAAGTTGCTCATCTCCTTCTTTGAACCTTTTTGGTGTGACTATTACAAGTTGTTCTGCTCCAGTAGCATGTGTCTTTACTTCCTCTTTTTTCACATCATTGGCATCAATTTCTCCTAATATATCTTCATGAACCAGATATCCAGACTCTAATGCTTCACTATATTTGTACTGTTCATCAGCATGTGATAATATTGCATCTGCAGAGTGACATCTTCTGCGAATTTTGATAATATATCTACCTGTCGTGGCATCAATTTCTTGGTATCCCCTTATATCAGTATCTTCGGAACAAATCACCTCAACACATCTTCTGTTCAATTCAGGCCTGATAAATTCTTTAGAATCATTTTTTGGAATCAAAGATGGTTGTTCATGGTACTCAATTGTATTGATTGTATCTTGAATACAGATATTATGGTTTAGGACTCCCTCTGGACCAATAATGTGCTGGCCATAGATTTCACTTAAAGTGATGGGTCGAATACCAACATAAATCATGAGATTATAGGTGGCATGATGTATGTATACGAAGAATAAATTCTGGAAAATTATCTTGATTTATCAAGGAAAATGGGTTTAAGAGAACTTCATCAAAAGAAATCTGCAAATTAAATTATTCAACTAATATAACAATGAGAATTAATGGAATTCTTGGAATAAACTTATCATCCTCTGGAGATTGCTCAAGATAAATGAGACCACTGGCTTCCAGTTCCTCAATAGTACAACCATTTAATTGATCACTCTTGGTAACAACTTTCTGAACATGAACATAATATATTAGCTTTATAATAATTTTCTCATTATGTAAGCTCATCTCCCATTCTTTTTTGGAATATTTTAGTCTTATGTAATGCTTTAAATTTCCCCAAAATTTTTTGCCATATCATAGGTTTGAAATATTCTTATTCCTTCAATCATATCTAAAAATGTTTTAACTGCAGTTTCAATGACAACAGGAATTCCTTTTATAGAGTTTACAACACAAAGATAAATTCTGTTATTCTTCTCTGGTAAAATGTCACTGTTCCCATGATAATAAGTGGTGAACTCATTGAATAGACTCATAAATTCATAGGTGATAAATGAAGATTTCTATTTTTATATTGAGTCACATTAAATTGGCTGTTATCCAGATTTGTAATTTTAGATGGTGCAGTACCAGTACATATTGGAATGATTAAAGTTTTGAATTTTTCCAGAACTACTATACTACTTATGACACGAAATAATGTGATTGTCCAATAATTTCCAGTTTGAAATTCATCAATTTGCAAAACTAAAATCAAAATGGCAGATGAATTCAACTTCTTCTCTCTACAAATTAATTCTCTCTAGACCATGCTTTAGTGAAAAAATATATCAAAATCAAAATATTTAAAATATTATTTGCTTGATCAATATGTTCTGCAATTCGGGGATATTTATTAGAACTATTATCTTCAAGTCCTGGTTCAAGTATGTTTATTAACTCATTTATGTTAATATATATATGTTCAAAAGTTGCATCCAATTTATCTTTTAATGTTTTGGTCCATTCATTGTGTTCAACAATATTCTCAATTTCAAATCCAATATGAGTTTTTCCAGTACCACTTCCACCAGAGAATAAGCTCATCAAGTTCAAATGTATAATTTCACAAATATCCTTTTCTATCTCAGGATGAGCAATAAAAGGAACAAAAGTGACAGGATATTCATTAGCCAGGATAACTCTCTTAAGATCTGATAAGGAATCGATGGAAAGTCTAACTCTCTTTGCCTCTGATTATGATAAAAAGCAAATCATTAAGAAAAAAAAGTACAAATCAGTTATAAATAAGGATATCAAATAAATAAACAAAATGTAATGAAGAAATAATTTTTTGTATATTTTTTATGCAATTCATTCATTACCTTTTTCTTTACTCTTTTCAGCTAATACATCTCCCCACTTCTTTACTTCTTCAGCATATAAATTTTCTTTCTGCTCTAACTTCTTCTTCTCTTCAATCAAGTAATCTCTCTCTTCACGTCCTTCCTCACTTCCTCTCCACAACTTGTCTATTCTCTTCTCCGAACTTTTTCGTCTCCTCCAACCTTCTTTATTTTTTATTTAATTCATTTTCAATTTTTTCATATGTTGCCATTTTTAAAAAAAAATTTTTTTATTGATTTAGATAGGAAAGACCCAGGTAAAATGCAGAAACTAAATCTATGTTAATATTAATATAACGGACATTTACATAATACATAACAAGAGGTTTTTTCACAGCTTTTCTTCCATAAACAGTTTTAGAATGTAATGTTCATCTGATAGTTTTCTCACTTGCTATAATGTTTAATTCTTCAAGACTCTTGACTAAATTATTAATTACCTTTCACTAATAAGATTAATTTTCAGTTTTGGCTAAATTTCTTCATCTGATGCAGATTTAATCCATTTAATTAATTCTTGATGTTATTTGAATTAATATATATATATATGTTTTTATTGTAATTTTTATCATATATTTCATACAATCTTTCAGTAAATTCCATAAAATTTGAAGAGTTTTGGTCTGGATCTTGATTATCTATTTCAATATAAGTTCAATGGTACTGCTTAGAACTAGAAAATCCTACATCATCCAAAGAGGGGTTGTTGTTTTTATAATGTCATTTGAATTAACTTGCTGATTTAATATCAAAGAATTAATATCAATTGGTTTGTTAGTTGGACCAATGTACAATTTTTTATTAGAACCAGCTACTCTAAAATAATTTAATAATATATATAAATTTAGTATTTTCACTTATCAATTTTATAGAAAATAAAAAAAGACTTATATACTTTGTTAGCACTTGTAAAATATAACCATTTAATCCTGGTTGAAGGGGGAAAAGGTCAGCACCAGCAGGTTTGTAAAATGCCCAAAAATTTTTTCTAGTGTTTCAAATTCACCAGGAAAAATAATTTCCTTAATAAAATTTAGTTTAACTAAATTTTATAACTATAAAAAACACTTGTGTAATATGTTTAATTAATTTTTAAAACATCTACTGCTAACAATACTTGCCATTCTGTACCAGCTCAAGGGATCTTTGGTGGTTTTAGTACATTGTATATATCTTTATACAAATTATCATGAAACAAATATTCTTATGGTTGTTGCTAGACACTTCTTCTTTTATTATTAAAAGGTTGATAAGGATTGTGTTTTAATGTTTCTATTGTAAGCTCACCATATTGATGTGGGTGAGCATAGTTAAACAATTCATTGATATGATTTTTAATGCATTCAACTGGCTAACATTAGTATTAAACGTTGCAGTTCTTGAACATGGTAAATACTTTCTAAATGATTACAAGTTTGGCAAACATCATTAGTATCTGACTTTGTGGAAGTCCAACAGTTACATTTATTACCATTATCAAAAATAAATTGACAATTAGAGTAGTTGGAATTAATAAGATTAAACATTTTTTTATGAAAATAATATGCATAACCCCTCATACCTTTTTACAAAATTACTTATGAATTTATTACTTGATCATTTTTTTTAAACGATAACTGTTGTACATTGTACAGCATATGATGCACATCTCATAAATCAAAATGACTTTTGAATTGTTTGGCTTGCCATAGAATTGACTCCCTTTTTTAAAATCCAATGTGTGGATCACATATTACTTCAAATTTACTGTCTGCCTATAAAATGAGACATTCTAAAATTCCATTACTACATGCCTGGGCATTTCAAAACTTCCATCTGGAAATTTTGTAATGTTTCATAGTCAGACATACAATAAACCAGTTATTGAATGCAATAATCACATAGCTGTGTTGACTCTCCATCACGTTTTTTTAAATCTGATAGCTTGTTTTAATTAGAACTGCAGACTAACCGTGACGGAATGTATGGTATTTATGATATTTTACGATAATATTTCTATATATAAAAGGATATTAAATGGCATTAATTTTGAAAATACTGTATATTTACATTTTGACCCGAACTTTCCACCAGATAACATAATATTATCAATTCACCGACAATACACGAGACAAACGTATCTCTCGAGATCCCCAAATCAATAAATTTCGGTGATACGAAATGCTTATCAATAGTTTTTCATCATTTCTATTAATTAAACTGGATTAAAAATGCTTGCTAAAAATCTTATTATATATAAATCAGGTCTATCAAAAAATTCATATTTTATCTTTAATGTTAGAAACACGTTAATACAATATACCAATACCAATACCAATAATAATCTCTTTGACTGTTATCCTTTATTAAGAATCTATCAAAAGAAAGATTATCATATAAATAACCATAATAACAATATTTACAATTACAATTACAATTACAATTACAATTACAATTATAAAAAATTATATTCAACAAATTCATCATCATCATCATCATCATCATCATCATCATCATCATCATCATCATCTGGTTCAAATGACAATAATATAAACACTGTTCTCCAAGATCAAATAATCTCAAAAATTGGCAAAGATCCAAAACTAATAGCTACCATTTATCAATTCACAGAAACTTTGAAAAAGAAAGGTGTTGATCTTACTACAGGTGAAATGCCTTCTATGTTCCAAATGGCTAAATTGGCTACCGATCATCAAGTAAAATTGATGATTGATAATGTAAATAATGAATTTCAAAATGCTGGAATAACAATTGATGCGGAAACCACACAAAAATATACGACAATGATGCCTATGTCTTATCCCATTCCTGAAAGAGAAGGTAATAGCAATAATGGGAGCAGAATTAGTAGTAGTAATAGCGTTTCTTCATCAGATACTTTGCCTCCAAAAACTTTTAATTTATCTGGATCCATCATTACAAAATCATCAAAAAAATCAAAAATAAAAGAGACTCTAAAATCAATACTTGATCAATCGTCACAACCTACGTCTCAGTCAATAAATTCGATCAAACATTTAAGATCTAATGTCAAAAATTCAAAAATAAAAGAAACTTTAAAATCAATACTTGATCAATCGCCACAACCTACTTCTCAATCAATAAACCAAATCGAACATTTAAGGTCTAATGTCAAAAAATCAAAAATAAAAGAAACTTTAAAATCAATACTCGATCAATCACCACAACCTAATTTTCAATCAATAAAGCCAATCGAACATTTGAGATCTAATGTCAATGCTAGTGCCGATTCTACAGAAATTATTCCCAAGACTATTATTAATCACATTCAAGTTACTGACACTAACATTAAACCTGTCATCAATGCTCCTTCTACCATACCTGACACTATTACATCTACATCTGCAAAAAAATCAATGAGAATTAGAAGGAGAATTGCAGCTACAACAAATGCAAAGCAAAAAATAAAATCCTCAAGAAAATCTAAAAAATCTATTGGTTTATTTTCAAAAATTAAAGGATTTTTTGGATTATCAAATTGAAAAAATATAAATAAAATTTCTAAATAGATAAATAAATATAATTCTTCTTATTTTTACTTGATGATGTTTGACCAATTAAATATGAAATATCATTTTAATGAAGTTTCATGCACATACAAAACTTTAATGATCTCTTGGCTGGATTGTTGGTTCTTTTGTTGATTGGTTGTTGTTGATTGATCTGACAAGTGATTCATTTACGCATTCCAAAAACGTTTTCTAAAATCTGTGAATCTTTCTTTGCTAATTGTTTTTAAAGTTAACAAATTCACCATATTCCCTTCTCTCTCAAAGTTATAACTTGTTTGTGGTGTATTTTATAACAGTTCCGCACCGGTTATATCTTTTATTATTGTTAAACTTTCCATGCAAAAAAACTTATTATGATTGTAAAAATTCAAACGATGCACAAAAGAAATGTCAAAAAAGTTATCATGGATATAATTTGGCAATGAATCAATGATTCGCTTTAAAGAAAAGTCTAATATTTTAAAACTTACATTTGATTCCAATGAAGAAACCGTTACACTAAAAATAATGAATAAACATTTGTGAAACAAATAATTTGACTTCATATTTTTACATTGAAGTAACATTGTTGATGATAAGTACTAAGGATTTTACTTTATAGTATACAATGATAGCTCGAAAATATGAAAGCACTTAGTATGCCAAATCGAGAACACTATTGTGTTTGAAAGTTAGGAAAGCAAAAGAAGTTCCGAAAATTTTGAGAAATGCATAGAGCAAGACATCTTGTCTCTTGTTCAACCTTTATGAAAACAATTTGCCTTTTAGAAAAGAAAGGTCGGTTGATTTGTTTTAGCCTCTTTTCTATGTGGTGTTATTTGAATCTAACACTATCACATTTGATAAATAAATTTTTTAAATCTGATTGTACAATGATTTGAAATAAGTTTGCTATTATAATTTTTAATAGAAATAGAGATAAAAATTAAAAGATATCTCAATCTTATTTATTATTATTTAAAAACCATAATTTTCTATGCCAGTTTATATACTTTATTTCTTCTAACAAATAAAACCTTCTGTCAGATTCAAATCATTTCTATAAGCATCATCTACTCCAGTAAAATAACAAATGTAATAGAATTCATTATTAATAATATCAAGTAGTAAAAACTTATTAATGCTGAATTATGATATATTCCACAGTCAGAACTGCTTAGTATTGATTTATCAATTTGATTTTGATTAATCTTGAAAATAAAGCTTTTCTCTGTTTTAATGTAACAAAAATCATTTGATGAATTTTCTTTTAAATTCCAACAAACTGGATTATATCCACTAACCAATTCCCCTGTTTCTTTAATTTTCATGACAGCAACTGTTTGTTCAACATTATAACAATTTATCAATAAAATTTGAAATACATCTTGGGATCTACTGAAAATCAAATTAAATTCATGTGGCAAGTTATTTGCATTATTTAAGTCACATGCTGTATCAATCCAATTAGAAATTAGAGATTTCATTCAAAACTTAATAATTATGATGATATATTAAATAAGTTCTTTATAAAATTCTTTACCAACAACCTCTTTGTAAGGTTGGACTTTTTTATTAAAATCACATGAAGGAATTAGATCAAAATCTTATTAGTGGGATAACATCCCTCAAAAGAATTTTCAATTCAATTATATTATTTTTGTTCCATTCTGAAATATTTTCTTCTATTGAAAGGGGTTGTTTTTATTTTTTATGTTTTAATGAGTTGTTCTGATTCAATTGCTTTTCTTCTTTTTTCTTCTTCCATATTTTCAATTTGTCCAACTCCCTATTGAATAACATGATCCCAGATATTAATTTCATCTAATCCTAAAATCATCTTTTTCTAATATAGACACAAGTATTGATTTTTCAATAGACTTGAAATCATCAAGCTTAAACAATAATTCAGGCTTATAACCAATTAATTCATTACAACACTCTTGAAGCATAATTGATATTGTAATAAAAATTGATAAACATAGGGTAAATTTTGTTTAAACCATTCTTTTTTTTCAGTGATTAAATAAATTTGTAAATCCTCAATTAATTCATTAAAGCTTAATTCATCACATGCTTCAAGAAGTTCAAGAATTTAATATGTATCAAGATTATTGACATCAATGATTCCATTGTAAATGTTAAAATAATTTTATTGTTTAAAAAATATGTTGCTTTTTAAGAAACACCTTTTATTATAATCAATTCAAAATTAAATTAAATTAAAACTTACATTAAAAGAACTTCAAACACTTTTGGAGATATTTTCTTTTTCAAATAAAATAATTCCATTTTCAGATTTTTTTGCCTAATCATTCAACAAAGTTGCTTTAAAATTCAAAGATCTTGTTTCCAAGACATTGGAATGCCTTAAAAGTTTTAATATCATCACTCTCTCAAACTTTAATTTCCACATCATAGTAATCTGATTTGTTCAACAAGTTTTTTGAATCATTAACAAGTTTATTGATGTGTTTCAACAGCAAACCATTTTTGTTAAGATGGATAATATTGTTAAATAAGATATTAGAGATGAATTTATTTGAATTTTTGGACAACGTTACACGTGAAAACATTATTTAATGAAAAAATTCATCATATATTAACGTTCTACTTTATTATTATGACTTCTGTTAAAATGTAAATTTTGTCTATATCTAACAATGTTATAAAGTAATTTTTTATAAAAAAGGCTAATTAACTTAGTTTAAAAAAAGTCTTGTTACAGGATCAGCAAACGGAAAGTTTCATGAACTTTTTAGTGGAATTACTAAATTTAATGCTAAATATGGACCTTTTGATCTATTGTTATGTGTCGGTGATCTTTTCGGTGAAAACACGGACGAAATAGATTCTTTGCTGGACGGTAGTATTAAGGGTAAGCATTAAGAGTAGCTATATAATGATTATAAATAAATAAATATATATTCTGATCAAAAAATTTTTTTGTGATAATCTGTTTGTTGTTATAAAATTGTATATAGTTCCGATTACCACTTATTTCATGTATGGTCAGCATGAATTGCCAAAGGTAGTCAAAGAACGGGTTGAAAATAACAATGGAGAATTGTGTCAAAGCCTTTTTTACCTTGGTAGGCAAATATACACAATGAATTATTTTTTAAATATAAAATGAATGATATTTATCTAAATACTCATCCAAGTACTCATCTAATTGTGAATAAAAGGTGAAAAGGGTAGTATAAACACAACAGAAGGTGTGAAAATTGCATTTGTTAGCGGGCCATTAGGGAGTTTGATAAGCAATCTACCCAAAGAAGCTGATATACTGCTTACTTATGAATGGCCTAAATCAATTACACGACATTCTCCGAAGAGTGTAAATGTTCCTCTTGATAGTTGTGGATCAGAATTTGTAGATCATATAGCTGCTACTGTAAAACCAAGGTACCATTTTGCAGCATCTGCAAATACCTTTTTTCAGCGAGAACCTTATCAGAATCCTCTATCACCTTCACAAATAAGCGTTGACGATGATACACAACAAAAATTTGGTACACCTACTTGGTTTGTAGGGATAGCAGATGTTGGCAATTCTAAAAAGGAAAAGGTACAAAAATAAATCTTTTTTTTTTTTAATATAAAAAAATTTTTTTCCAAATTAATATTCAATGAAATTTTTTTCGTAGTGGTATTTTGGATTTAATATTGTACCCTTTGTACATTTGCCGGCAGCTTCATTAACGTTACCTCCAGATAAAATGACTCAATCACCTTATGTCAACAAGTCAGATAAAAAAAGAGGTTATAATGATGGATTTGGGGTAAATAATAAAATTATTTTTAATATTATTCGTATCTTGGTGTAAATTATTATATTGTACATACGCATATACACACAAACACACTACAAATAGGATAATAATTATTTTTGGAATGCGGGTGATTCATCAGGACCATCAAAAAAACGTGGCAAACAAAATCCACAAGGTTAATATCATATTTGGTTATTTTATTTTACAATTACAATACCTATTCTTTTTTAATTATAGTAATATTTAGGACCACCGCCTGAGAATTACATATGTAACAGATGTAACGTGCCAGGTCATTGGGTCCATGATTGCCCAGAAAAAAAAAAAGCTTGTGCTAAATGTCGAGAAACAGGGCATCATGCGAAAGATTGCCCTCAGAAATCATCTGCATCAAAAACAGAAGCAACAACAGCTGAAGGAGAAGATTTAAAGCCTAAGAAACCACCTAAAGTTTATGTATGCAAGAGATGTAATGCAAAAGGAGCTCATTTTTTTATTGATTGTCCTGATTATACTTGTAAATTATGTGGTAAAAAAGGTCATACGCCAAAAGATTGTTCAGTGTATAAAAGGAAACCCCAAAATCCAAGTAAATTTCTATTGGTTGTTTTTTTTTTTAAATTAAAAAAATTGTATTTTATTAATAATAATAATTTTTTTGCATATATATATCAGGTCCGTGTTGGTTTTGTCTATCCAATCCTAAAACGGTCAAACAGTATGTTGTTGCTGATATTAATTTCATTTGAGTAAAATTTTATTTTTTCGTATTATTTATTAATAGTTTTTTTAATTTATTTTAGTTTGATATTGTCTGTTGGAAATTTGTTATATTTATCCGTAAAGTATCTGTTTTTTTCCTTTATTAAGATTTTTTTAAGATTAATTATATATATATTATTTTTTTTGATTAGTTGGCTAAAGGATCTTTAATAGACACACAAAATCCTAAAAAGGCAACAGTACCAGGAGGTGGACATGTATTAATTGTAAATATACGTTTTATTTAATTAATTTTTCTTTTTTGAGTAAAAATTATTCTATTAATATATATATATGTACACACATTCCCATATTTCCATACATGAAAAATCAAGATTGCAATTGATCATTATTCCACATTTCGGGATATTCCAGTTGAAGAACAGGTTGACTTAGTTGATGAATTAGAAAGATACAAAAGTGCATTGAGAAATTTATATAGTGAATATAAAGCAGGAATGGTATTATTTGAAACATCCAGTGCGAATAATAATAAACAACAGCATTGTCATATTCAAGTAGTTCCAGTACCAAATAAATATGGCTCAAATATCATCAAGCAAGCATTTGATAATGAGGCAACAACTGTTGGTTTCAAATTTCAACAACAAACGCAATCTTCTTCTTCGCCATTGCCACCGCATTATTTCAAAGTAGATTTTCCTGATGGTACAAGTTATATACATGAAATTGGTGCTAATGAAAAATTTGATGTTCAATTTGGAAGGTGAGATAATCAAATAGGAAAGGGTTTTTTTGGTTTATAGTAATAATAACTTTAATAATATTATTTGATATACATACATTACTATTTTATTAGGAAAGCACTTGCTAAGCTTTTAAATTGTACAGATCGTGTCGATTGGAGAGCATGTGAAGTGCCTGAAGATGTTGAACGTGCAGATTCTGAAAAATTTAGAGATTCATTTAGACCATTTGATCCATCAGTAGATATGGATTAAATGTACGATACATATATGTGAATGAAAATAATGAAAATAGATGGAATGTGATTAATTGGGAGAGGGAAAATAATTCTTTTTGCAAATTATAAATTTGCGCATTAATGACAATAATAAAACATATACAAAAAATGATTAATCAATTTAATCTGTATGTTAGTATGACACGTTACTAAATTTGTAACACTCCAGTTCTCTTGCACAAAATAAATTTTAACATTCACCAAGCAGGACAGCTGTACCATTTGTCAATGGTAAATCGGACTCTTTTTGCCTCTTTAGTCAATCATTTCAACTGCATATTGACTAACTCCAATCGATTCTTAATAAAGCAGAGGTTATATGAGGCATTGGGGTATTCGATATAAGTTGGTTAACAAATCTAATTAATGTCATAATGTAAATCCATATATGCGGATTTTTTTATGGTGCCCCCTTTTTTTCTCTAAAAAAGGAAACAGTGTAACAAAATATTTTGCTATTATTTTTTAAATAAATATTAGCGTTTTATTAGTATTATGAACTTTCAATCACTAAGGCTTCTGGAAAATCGTTACATTTACAAAAATATTAGAGGTTTTTGATCAGGATATATTTGTAGAACAGTTCTATGGAGACAGAATCTTTATTTCATACAATTTTTTCGGAAGTTGCAATAGATAGAAGTATAACAATAAAGAAAGAAATTTTCTGTATTTCGAATGAGTTTTTTTACGCCACTGGTATTTTTAATCCATTAAATCTTTCCATAGCTCTAATCTATATTATATATACTATCTTGTACACTAATTTGGTGTCTATATCTTTGAAAACGGAGGAGGAGTAATGTTTTGAAAACAGCATGTTTTATTAGCGTTTTATTAGTATTATGAACTTTCAATCACTAAGGCTTCTGGAAAATCGTTA